TAAGAGGTACAAACTTTGTTACCAAATAAATGAGCCACAGGTATGTAATATATCCTACCCTATGGGGAATATAGTCAATAATGGTATAATATCTTTGGTGACAGAGGACAACTAGACTTATCATGGTTATCATTCTGAAATACAGAAATATGGAATCACTATGTTTTGTACCAGGAACTGACAGTGTTGTAGGTCAACTATACTTCAAAAACAAACTCATAGAAAAAATGATCAGATTTGTGATTACCAGAGGTGGGGAGGTTGCGGGGACTGATGAAGGTACAAACTTCCAGTTAGAAGATAAATAAGTACTAGGGATGTAATGTACAACATGATAAATACAATTAATACCACTGTATGTTATACATGAAAGTTAAGAAAGTACACCCTGAAAGTTCTCATCACAAGGAAAAAAATTTATTTATTTATTTATTTATTTTTTGGCGGTACGCGGGCCTCTCACTGTTGTGGCCTCTCCCGTTGCAGAGCACAGGCTCCAGACGCGCAGGCTCAGCGGCCATGGCTCACGGGCCCAGCTGCTCCGCGGCATGTGGGATCTTCCCGGACCGGGGCACGAACCTGTGTCCGCTGCATCGGCAGACGAACTCTCAACCACTGCGCCACCAGGGAAGCCCATGACATACAGTTTTAATGCAATCCCGATCAAAATCCTAGCAGGTTAATGGAAGCGGGGGCCTGTGAAAACTGACTAGCTGATTCTAAAATTTACATGGAAATGAGATGAGCCAAAAGAACCAAAAACTCCTGAAAACCAAAGAGCTTAAAACTCTTTGGTTCTGCAAATAAACTAACTGCTTAAACAACAGTTCTCAAGATTATATCCTGAACTACTAGTCCTCCAATGTGGACGGCGCAACAGAGTCAAAAGCACTCATTTAAGAACTTATTTAGTATCTGATTGGAAACAAAAATGCTTGCTTTCATATAAACATATAGACATAACAAAAGATTAACAAGTTCTGATCAAAAGCACTCATTATTTGATTTAAAAAACCAAAAATGTCACACACAAAAACCAAACAGCGACCTAGTAGAGATCTTTTTAAACTCAAATTTAAGAGTTTTCAGAAAAATATTTGAAACAAATTTTAGAACTGAGGCTTATTAAAGCCAGTTTTACACAGTTTACTGGAAGTAGTTTCAGGCTGTTGGATACATATGTACCATCCCCTGAGTATAAGATCATAAGGTACCATCTTTCAGATACATTATAGCACTGGGAATTTTCCATTTCAACAAATGATTAACATATTGAACAAGGTCAAAAGGGTAATGGACTATTCATATTAGATGCATTTGAATTAAAAGCTTTAGTAAATAATCTCTGACTTAGCATTTTGGTTTCTCCTGAAGACATTCAATGGGCCCCTCTGAAGTATTAGAGACACTATCAGAAATAATGGAGCAGTAATATCAAAATTGAAATTGAGCTTTATATAGTTGAAGGATTAATAGTTGAAAGAGTGCATGGTCAAAAACAGCAATCCTTCTCTTAAGGGAGAGTTTTATTTTCACAGTAGTCTTTCTTTAGAGGAACTTCATTTCCAGAAGTAACAGACCGTTTTAGTTCTAAATCCCTTCTCCTCACACCAAGTACAGTCTACTCCAAACTGAGCAGGCTGTGGCTCCTGATTACATTCAAACAGTCCCCTAACCAAAGATGAAGAGGCCTTACCTGAACACCTTCCCTTGCTTCTGGGTACCCTAACTATCCAAGTCCTAGTAGTGTAGCTGTCTTTAATACATGACAAAGCTAAAACCTCCAACTCAGACACTAATCACCCCAGGAGAGAAGAGAGCATCTCTCCCAAAGGTCTCTCACCATATAAGTTAACTTTGCCCAAAGGAGTTTTTCTCTCCAGTATACTTTTTAAAGGTGACATTTCTCTCTCTATATAATCATCACTATTCAGTAACTTAACACATATATAAATGCTGTTAGAGGGCAGACAGGTCTACGGTATTTTAAGTAACTCCAAACACACTATGTATCAAATTCCTGAAGCAGTAAAATTAACATGAGCTCATGTTCCTGGAAAGAATTAGTAACACCTTATAAGTGAAAAAGCATATTTCACTTAATTTTTTTTTTGACATTTTGAAAGCAGACCAAAATTTAACAAAACTTTTTTCAGAAGATAAAAATAATGCTTTTGCAGTTGCTTCATGCTGCAGTATTTATATTTTAGGGGAAAGGCAGAGACTTCACTTAGCTACAATCCTACAAAAAAGCAACAGAAAAGTTGATTTTAATCATTTTTCTGGCGTTATTCCATCTTACCTTGGATTGGAATTCCAAAAAGCTCGTCTCTGAACATTGTTTCCTGTCTGAAAATTAGGAACCAGAACTACAAACTTCTAAGTTCTTCCACCTTACACAGAAATCAATAAACCAGTGTTAACATTGGACTGAATTTCAAAGTTCTATTCTCTGTCCCTATCTGGCTAAAAGGTATACCTATATCAAGAGTTTCTATCGATTTCCAACTAGAAGTATCAGTTTTGCTGTCAGAGCTCTTTATTTTTGTACATAAAAGGAAGTGGGTTTTGATACCATCTCAGTGTTCTTCCTGTCTTACAATGCATTTGAAATAAAGTGATGTCAGATTGAGAGTAAAAGCCCTAAATAAGAAAAAGGAATAGGCGCATTTAGTTTGTTTTACCTTTATTAACTGCAACTGACTTAGAACTGCTGTGCAGCACGCTGCTACTATCACTGCTAACTACAAGTTTTCCATTTTAACTTGCACTGGACTATAAAAACATTCATAAATATATAATATAAACCTAAAATTCTACATTTCTATGCCTATGTCATATGCATGACCCATGAATGAGAGAAGCACATCCTATGAGAGACTAAATCATTCTTCATTATTGCTAGCTCAGCATTTATCCATTTCTGAAGACTATGAGAGCTGCTAGAGTAGTTAGCATGTCCATATGCCATCATGTGCACCTCTCATCTCCACCTTCCAAACACCACATAAAGGCCATTCTATACTCAGTTTAATAGGCTACAATCAGAAAAGATCTTTACTGAACATCTCATCTTAATGTAAACTGAGGCTAAGTAATATTGTGACAATTTCTAGAAGAATGAATCAGAGGCAGTTCAAAAATAATTTATGTGGACCACAATTTTGAATTTGCTGTTACCTTGCTGTTAATATCTTCTATTATTATGCCAAGGGTGGGGCAAGGTTATACTATTTTAATCTACCCATTAAGCTACAGACAATGGGGTTCTATTGTTATTTTAAATCCTCCCGTATCATAATACATTTAGAGAGAGCCTTTCACAACCACGTAACAACCACTACTTCAAATAGCCACTGCAGTTATAAAGCAGAAACTGACACACCATTGTAAAGCAATTATACTCCAATAAAGATGTTAAAAAAACAAAAACAAACAGCCACTGCAGCATATGAGCTACTGAAAAGCAAAGACTTCCACAACCAAGGTTTTGTTCCCAGTTTACTAGTCTGACCTCCTTTAGTATCGACTTCCCTGTTTCCAGCCACATCCAGATATTATGAATCTAGCTGTCTCTCTTGCCTGATGACTTGGCTTGGTTCCTAATCCTAGATCAACAATTCCCAAACTTAAAAAGAAAAATTTAAACTGGGGAGAAGCCGAGGAGAGACAGAGCCCTTAATACTTTTGGCTCCATCCTTCCAAAAAAAGAGGTCTTTAGTACACTCTGAGAAACGTAAAGTCCTGGACACATCTCCTTTCACTACTGACAGGAATTACTTTAAAAAACACATATCAAGAATATGTCACAGGTCCCAACCTTGCCTTGCCTTTATTCCATTTGTTCCTAACACATGATGTCTGAGCTGCTCTCTAAGTGGTTGTGATCTTAAAGCTAGGATCCTCTGGTTTCAAAATTTGCCCAACTTGCAAGTGTAGTAGCTGTATGAGAGAGCACAGATAATGTCACCAATTATCTAAATCTTCTCCAGGAGTAGCACACACATTAACACAGAAATGATAATAAAGAAGATGATTTTTCTGTTATAGTTCAAAATCAATAGTTCTAGAGGTACTTAAAATTAATGAGTCAAGTATTCCAACAAGCATCACTCTAACTTCTAGATCCAAAGGCAACTCACCTATGACTCAAACGTAAGAGGTCATCCAAGCTAGGGAAACTCCTGGATGTCTATTTTGCTCTGGAATATCACTATATCAGTCCTTATAAAGGAACCAGCATGAGCTGGCTTAAAATCTGCCCCGCCATGTATGGCTAAATTTATCAATATTGGGATAAAAACGATTTGCCCTCTTCAAAAAGACTCCTGACAAGGAGTTACAAATAATTAGAAGAAGAGGTAATAAAATGTATCCTTAAGTGGAAAATTCATCCCAGGGAAGCTGCAGCAACAAAGATATTATTCCCTAAAGAAAGTTTTTGGGTAAGTTATGAAGCAGAAACCAAGCAGGAGATGAGAGCAAAGACCAGCAGACTAAATTTAGTCTTTGCCAGTAGAAATGAAAAGCATTGCTTTCCTAGTAAGGAGAGAGTTCTTAGAGCAATTAAGTCCTCAAATTTTAAAAGAAAGCATTAGAGAGGTAAATAAAATAAGAGCATCCTAAAAAAGGCTACGGGCAGCCAAGAGCTAAAAATAAACCCCGGTAAAACCCAGAGCCATGTTATCCAATGTGATGGCCACTAGCCACATGTAGCTATTTAAATTTTAGTTAAAATAAAATTACAAATTCAGTTCCTCTGTCACACTAGCTATATTTCAAGTGCTCAAAAGACACATGTAGCTAGTGGCTACTTTGTTGAGTTGGACAGCGTAGATGCAGAACACTTCCATCACTGCAGGAAATTCCACGGGACAGTACTGATCTAACTGGTAAGGGAAAGAGACTAACTGACGTGGGGTCTAGAAAAAGAGGAACTATTAACAAGGGCATTTGTCCTACAGCATTCAGTACTTTATGGAGGGATCAGGTGGATTTACCTTTCCTTTTCCACCTGCTCTTTTTTCCCTCCTTGTTGCTGCCACCATCACTGCTGCTGCTGCTGTTCTCAGAACTCTGGGAATCTGACTGACCATCACTGCTTTCTTCTGAACCTTCTGATAGCTCTTTCACCCCATCCGGCACATCTTTCTGAAAATGTAGGCATCCAATTAGGATTAATCATTACCATTTCAGCAAATAGGAATTAAATTTCTGATATGCATTGTTGTGACTTTTAATTGTGCTGATTAATTTTTAGTATCATAAAATTCAGTAGCAGAACCAGCAATAATTTCTGAATTCCTGTCATCTCTCTTCTTTGGGTCAAATTAGTTAATGCTTCCATCCATACTCAAAGATAAAAAATATACATGACAATCTTATGCAGGCACAACACAGAGGCTTAAATTGGACAAAAAACTTGGTATATTTAAATCCAGGTAAATGATGAAATGTTCAGGATAAAATCTATATAATAACAATTTTTAAAAATGTATGTACACCCATCATCCATGTAATATATATATATATATATTTGTGTGTATGTAAGTACCATTACGTATTATAAAAAGTCTGGATAGCAAGTGATAGTGCATTATTTGAATCTAACTGGTTCCAAAAATTGGTAAGTAGAAAGAGTCAAACACAAAAGGAATGGTTTAAAAAAAAAAAAAAAAAAATCACACGAATCTTTGGTTTCTGCACTGGACAGTGAGAATGCTAATCAGAAAGGACACCTGTGTCAGCCACAGTATGCGAGAGATATAACAGGGTAGTTGTAAGATCAAGAACTAGGAAATTAAGACTTTGGGGGTTTGAATTCTGGCTTTATCTTCTCCTAATTATGCAGCCTTGGTCAAAGTCTTAAACTCTCATGCCTCAGTTTCCCTGTCTATAAGATGGGGTGACAGTACCTACCTTAAAAGATCATTCTGAAATTAAATGAGTTAATAAATATAAGATGCTTAGAACAAGGCCTGGCATATGATAAGAGCTCAATAAATATTAGCTACTATGTATTTATGTAGTATGTGAAATATATACATATAAATAAACACATTAGTGAATGTTATTTCTGAGTTATAAAACTATGGATGATTCTTTTTTCTTCTCAATATATTTTTTGTTTGCCCACATAATTTATTTTTATAATCAGATAAAAAGTAATTCTGACACATGACCCTCCTATCTATAACTAGTACTCACAACATTACAGTCAAGATAGTAACCTCTGATCTAATAAGGAACTGTCTTTTTCCACTTACGTTTATACTCTAGTGCCATTTCACATGTTATACACTTTCTTAAAATACATATCCTTTCCTTCAAAATACAGGAAACTTTTATAGAGTTAGTTGCAAACAAGACCTCTTGATCTGTAAGTTCAACACGCACTTTAAATACAAATATAACTGTCTTCTTCTTTTTTTTTTTTTTTCCGGTACACGGGCCTCTCACTGTTGTGGCCTCTCCCGTTGCGGAGCACAGGCTCTGGACACGCAGGCTCAGCGGCCATGGCTCACGGGCCCAGCCGCTCCGCGGCATGTGGGATCCTCCCGGACCGGGGCACGAACCCATGTCCCCTGCATCGGCAGGTGGACTCTCAACCACTGAGCCACCAGGGAAGCCCCCCCTAACTGTCTTCTTAAACTTGTGATCCCTCCAGGATCAACTCATGCCCCAAATCTTAGAATCACTGCACCCCTTCTTTTACCCACTCCAAATAGTTTATGTTTCATTTCTCTAATGTTCCTTGCCTCCATCTCTTTCACCACTCTCACAGTTTAGGCCAATTATCTCTTCCAAACAATCATAACCATCCTTTTGACAAATTTTCTTGCTTTACTCTTAAGTGTATCCTACTTGAATTATCTTCCTAAACATGATTTGATCATGCTATTCTCCAAAAAAACCTCTGCCGTTTCCTCAACACATACCTACCCTCCCTCCTTCTCTTTCTTAACCGCTCAGTCAGGTTTTCAAAAGCCTCCAAAGTTTGTTCTTCACCTAACATTTACCCCATCCTGACTCCTTACCACACTAGCCCACACACAGATTATGGTCTAACCACTCCAATTTACTTTCAAATCCATTCTGAATCCTTTTATCTGTGCCTTTGCTTAAGCTATTCCCTTGTCCTGGAAGGCCCTTCCTTCCATTATTTATCGGCCAAAGTTCAACTCAAATTTTACAACTTTAAAACAACAGAAAAACAAACTAAATCTTCCAGATCCCTTTATTCGAGGTTCATCTTTACTTCTCTATGCTCTCACAGTACTTTACAGCACTGTGTGTTTTGTGAGCATGCTATTATTTCAGTAACTATGTGAGCTGCAAGAGATCAGGGACCATAGTTTATCCTTCTTTATAGCCTCTACAGTGTCAGGTATAGAATAGGCATTTAATAAATGTTATTAACAATACAGAAGGTCTAGAACAACTAAAACCTAAAAGAAACACAGAAAGCTCTATGTGGGACTAGATCCCTGTAACCCTGTGAAGTTCAACAAGGTGTTTTAAAAGGAGGTATTATGGGTAAGTTAGATCTTTTTAATGTTAGTGGGCTACACACAACCAGTGAGCACAGAGAAGACTACAGCCAAAACTAAAAAGGTAAGAGGGGACAGAGTCCCACATACACATGGACATAGTCATTGCATGCCAAGCATTAATTCTCCTTCTGCTGATAAATTTTCTTTGGGAAACAACCCTTGCCTCAATTCATCAGGCTTGAGAGGGCTTAACCACACTTTCACATCAAGGGTGATCATGAACCGAAGAGTGGCCAATCAGAAGACTCCATATGTTTGGTAACGGCAATCATTCTGGTATAGGCACATGGGCCAAGCCAAACCAATTAAGCCACATCAGAACTAACTAAAGGGCTCCGGCTTCAGTTCCTGAGACTCCTTCTCTCCAGACTTACAGATTGCAGAGTGGGGGCTGGGAGTGAAGTCATGTACCATGAGGAGAGGGCCTGCCTGAGACTGAAGCCAAAAGAAAGCGGAGAGACCCATCCCTGATGACAATCATTTGAGCTCCCGAATTCAGGCTGAGTTTCCCTAGAATTTTCAGTTATGTGAACTAATAACTTCTCTGTTTCACTCAAGCTCATTTGAGTTGGTTTTTCTGTTTGTAACCGAAAGGACACTGATAAGTCAAGGTCCCTTTTTAGTGCAGAAATTAGAACTTAGCAAGCCTGTTATGGTAAAAGAACATGGGAATTCAGTCAGATATGGATTCATATTCTGGTTCTGATACTATCTGGCCAACACTGAGCAAGAAAATCCAATCTTCTGAACTTTGGCTTTCTCTATCATAATAAAGGAATAATAAACACAACTCTGAATTGTAATGGAGAATTAAATCAGAAAGTAATATAAAGCATCAAGGCTGTATACTCCACAGTAATACTCATTATTATTTAAATATGTGACACCCTTTAAAAGTCACTGGAAGTCATTTTCATTTCATCCTTTCAAAATAATACTATGGCAAAGAATGAAAAAAAAAAAAACTATGGCAAAGAATGAAAAATGAAGTTACTTCTCCAATCTACCTACAGATGGTTACAGAGTAATTAAAAAAAAAAATGTATTGGATACAGGATTGAAAATTTTACCTCTTCCTGAAAATAAGCTCTTCAAGAACAGAATTCTGTCTCTATGATGGAAGTATTATTCATTACACGTAGTTACTTCCTGTTTTCACTTTTAAAATGACTCCCTAACAAAAATATTTACCTTCAAAGTATACACTCCCATTCTACCTGGAACCTTATAGAAGATGCCCTCTTCACCTCGGGAGTTTGTGTGCAGCATTGCATTCAGGCATGCAAGAGGGGAAGTTCCACTGCCAAAAAAAAAAAAAAGAGAGAGAGAGAGAGAACACAATGATTAGTTTCTGTCTCTGAATATCCTATGTAACACTGAATTAAGATAAAATTAACAAATCAACACTCATTTGACATAAACACATTTTATAAACTAAAAAAAGTCTATAAATCTAGAAAGGCTGCCATGGAGAAAATGGATGTAAAATTCCTTCCCAGTTATCTAAAGAAAAAATAATTCTATAATTTTCTTAATCCCAATTTAGCATCTAACATTTCAGTCAAGACAAATTTCTCTCACAGAAGCATCACAAATATATCTCTAAAGATTCTATTTCACTTACAATTTTATTTGTTAATACACCTCAATAAAGCTGAAAAAAAATTTTTTAATCTATTTCATTTAGCACAAGCCTTAAATGCCCAGAAGTAAAACAGGGAAGAAAAAGAAAACACACACAGAAATAAATAATATTAATCTCCCTGCATACTGCTGCACCAGACTGAATCTGAGTTATGGAACGAACACATTTCCATGCTCCCTTTTTTTAAATTGAGATATCATTGACATGTAACATTGTATTAGTGTCAGGTGTAAAATATAATGATTCCATAGTTATCTATATTACGATGGTCTTTAGACCTATCATGAGACCACTTTAAAAGACATAAAGCAGGCTTTGGAATATTCATCTTCTATGTAGAAACCTGGTTAAAAGTTTACTAATTCTAATATACATTTATCATATTTTCTAGAGTTTTAGGTATATAATAAATTATCTGTTGAAAATGTACATATATCATTTTCCTTTCTAATTGTAATCAATTTCATTTTCCTATAGTGATATAAATGGAAATGTGTGGCATCCTTAAATTTAAAAAAAAAAACCAACTCACAATATCTGAGGGATAAGGCAACTTATTCGCACATTTCCGTATCTCCCATCTCAGTTCTCTGCTGGTACTACTCAATAACCCAAAGAAGCCTACTGGAAGAGGCTGCTAGATATCTTGGGTATCTAAAGATAAGAGTTCTCTGTGGGAGAGAGCAGGACCACTGTCTTTTGGTACTATGAAGGTGCTGAGGGTCAAAAACTGAAAAGATGGGGACTTCCCTGGTGGCGCAGTGGTTAAGAATCCGCCTGCCAATGCAGGGGACACTGGTTCGAGCCCTGGTCCAGGAAGATCCCACATGCCACGGAGCAACTAAGCCCGTGCGCCACAACTACTGAGCCTGCGCTCTAGAGCCCGCGAGCCACAACTACTGAGCCTGTGTACCACAACTACTGAAGCCCACGCACCTAGAGCCCGTGCTCCACACTCGCCGCAGCTAGAAAAAGCCCGCTAATAGCAGCGAAGACCCAACGCAGCCATAAATAAATAAATAAGTAAATAAATAAAATAAAATAAACTGAAAAGATGGAGGACAACAAAGAAAATAAAGGAAAACCTTTTGTTAAAGAAAATGATGAGGAGACTTCCCTGGTGGCACGGTGGTTAAGACTCCGTGCTCCCAATGCAGGGGGCCTGGGTTCGATCTCTGGTCAGGGAACTAGATCCCACATGCATGCCGTAACTAAGAGTTTGCATGCCACAACTAAGGAGCCCGTGAGCCGCAACTAAGGAGCTTGCCTGACGCAACTAAGACCCAGGCCAATCAAATAAGTAAATAAATAAAATATTAAAAAAAAAAAGAAAAAGAGGGACTTCCCTGGTGGCGCAGTGGTTAAGAATCTGCCTACCAATGCAGGGGACACGGGTTCGAGCCCTGGTCCGGGAAGATCCCACATGCCGCGGAGCAACTAAGCCCGTGTGCCACAACTACTGAGCCTACACTCTAGAGCCCACAAGCCACAACTACTGAAGCCTGCTTGCCCAAAGCCCGTGCTCTGCAACAAGAAAAGCCACCACAATGAGAAGCCTGCGCCCCACAACGAAGAGTATGCCCCTCTCGCCACAATTAGAGAGAGCCCACACACAGCAACAAAGACCCAACGGAGGTAAAAATAAAAATTAATTAATTAATTAAAAAGAAAAAGAAGGGCTTCCCTGGTGGCGCAGTGGTTGGGAGTCCGCCTGCCGATGCAGGGGACATGGGTTCGTGCCACGGTCCGGGAGGATCCCACGTGCCATGGAGCGGCTTGACCCGTGGGCCATGGCCGCTGGGCCTGCATGTCCGGAGCCTGTGCTCCGCGAAGGGAGAGGCCACGGCAGTGAGAGGTCCGCGTACCTCAAAAAAAAAAAAAAAGAAAAAGAAAAAGAAAAACACTGAGTATCTTCAGGCTGATTTTCAGTTATGTTTCTCTAATTTAGATATTTCCATGTTAAAAATACACATAATGCAATTCTAGTCAAAACTCCCAAGTTTGTATCAAATAAACATATAAAAATTGCCAAGAAATTTCTGGGAAATAAATGATGAGAGACTTGCTTAAGAAGATATTAAAATGTACTCTAAGCACATTATTAGAATATTAGTGAATAATGAATTATTGAATTGAATAATTATTGAATAATAATAATTAAATTAGAGTTTTATTGAAGCAATGTGTTTCTGGGACAGGATAAACAGGCAAATGTTCACTCTTACAGACTGCTGGTGGAACAAAATAGAAAATATAGAAACAGATCACAATAAATGTAAAAGGTACTATTTCTGTGCAGCAGGAAGAAGACTGAGTTATGACACGGTCACCTGTGGTGAGAATCTTTCTCTTCCCCTAAGCAGTATGAGAAAATAATACGTAAGACTTTCAGTCATATGACCATGAGGGGAGTATCTGGAATTTGGGTGGAACAACACAAAGGAGAGAGAAAGGAAGGGCTAGGTAAGGATTATAGAGGAAAACTCAACACCCAAAAAGGCAGACCTGAGAAAAGAGGAAAACAGCAACATTCTTTTTTTTAGCAATATTAGTTAATGCCACTGTATCCAGGCTTGCCTTAAGCCAGTCCCACCTTTGGAATTTTGTTGAGGTTTTAAGTCACAAACAACCGAGAGAGTCCTAAATAAAATAGTTTATTTAATAATTAATTAAATAATTATTTAATTCTCACAGCTTATATAAAAACATATTCCAAATGGATTCAAGGCCAAAATATAAAAAGTAGAAGGAAAACAGTATAACCTACAGTATAGAGCAACCTTTCTACATAAAAGAGAAAAAAACCCAAACCACAAAAGAAAACCTTAATAACTAAATAAAAATAAAAATTTCTGTACAGGAAAAAAAATCATCAACAAAACTATACCAAGCATACCTAAAAGAGCTTTCTAGGAAAATACAAACAACCAATTAGAAAAAAATGGATAAAGGATATGAAAATGCAATATAAATGGCCAACAGAATACATGAAAAGCTGCCCAAACTTTACAGTGGTTAAAGGAAAACAAATGAAACCGAGACACCACTGGTCAGACTTGTAAAAATCAAATATATTCAGGTCTTTGTTAGCAGTACTGTACTAAGGTCAGTTTCCTGGTTTTGATATTGTACTGTAGTTATATAAGACATTACCACTGGAGGAAGCGGGGTGAGGTAGCCATGGGACTATTTTTATAATTTCCCATGAGTTTATAATTACTTTTTAAAAATGAATTGATAAAATCCATTGCAGGTAAGGTTATGGGGAAATGAGCACTCTTATATAGACTGTTGGTGGGACTGAAAACTGCTACCCCACCCCCCCATTTCTCAATTCTGCCTTAAGAAAGTAACACGCAAATATCCACTAAAATTAAAAATATTAGGGGCCACTGATGCAACATTCCCACTTCAATCTATCCTACAAAAATAAGGCCACAAAGACTTATGGACATCTATGCAAGGATTAACTCCAGCATTGTTAAAAGCGTCAAAACACTAAAAATGACCTCCAAGTCAGTAAGAGGATGGTTCACCATATGTTAGTAAGGTAACCAACAGGATATGAATCAATAACAGCAACATTAACAGCAAAAGGACTGCTAAATTCCAGGAAGCATTCTGGTTAGCCCTCACAACAATCCTTTGAGGTAAGCAAAATTATGACACCATTTTTACAAATGAACAAATGAATGTATTGAGGTGTTAAGTAAGCTGTTCAAGATCACACAGTGATTAGTCAATGGTGAAGCCAAGATTCCAGTAAGAAGAAAGAAAAGAGAAGCAGAACAGGAAAGAGACTGTTTAAAAAGAACATATAATCAAGTGAAAAGAAAACATGCTATAATCTGTAGTTCAATAACCTATCTGGGTAAAGCTTTGCCCCAATTTTTGGTATTCAATTTCAATATTAAGTACCAACTCTGTTTAGTACTGTTTACTAAGTACACAATAAACTAGGGTCTGTGGGGCCAAGGAGGAAAGCTTTCTTAGTTCAAAGTCTAATGGGAAAGACAGACAAGGGAATAAACTGCCACAAGCACCTGTAACCAGTGCTACCAATACAGACCGAAGTCCACAATCCCTGACCCCAAACACTTAAGGCCAAATGTTTCAGACATAAAAATCTGTTTGGATTTTAGAAAGGCAACATGATATGCCATATACTATGTAATATCACCAGAGATTAGTGGCAGCAATCCCATAACCAAACACAGTGAAACACATCAATATTCACACTAAGTGGGAGAAACAAAGACTACATATAGTTTTATGTCAGTTTCAAGAGAAGGTGTTGTTGACAAATGAGGTTTGTTACCAAAAGACTAAAAAACTTTTTCAAGCATTTTGGATTTTGGAATTATAGAATCGAGAACACAGGCTTGTGTATATATAAAGTACTTTAGGTCAGAGAGAAAGAAACAATCTCTTCTAGGGCTTAGTACCTAGAACCAAAAACAAAACCAAACAAACAAAAAGCCAAAAAAAACAAACAAAAAAATCCCAACTCAATCAAACCAAAACAAAAAAAAACTCCTTACAGTAAAACCCATAAAAATGAAAGCAAATGGCACACATGTACATCTGGTGAAAAGATGTGGTAACAGATTTACAGACACGATCATATTTTCCTTGCAAATCCAATGTAATTTTCC